AATTATGACCTATATTTCCATATAAAGAAGAAAAAACATTTTTTGTTTCTTTAAAATTCAACTTATATTTATCGAACAAATTGAAATAATTATTTCTATTAAGTTGGATCATTCGAACAGAACAAATACAAACACAAATATTATTGAATGAAAATACACTGATACAAAGATTAACTGAGTATTCATTTTAACAGATATAAAGAACAAATAAAAAGACAAGTCATACACACACACACATATATATATACTGTACAAAGATTAATATATATACACATAATGAAAAGTTTTCTGAAGTGCAGATGTGAAAAAAAAGAGAAATCGTATTATCGGGAAAAATTTAGCTGATCGTGAAATAATCTTCAAGATATATATCGGGGACGGAATGAATTTTAAAAGAAATAAAACATCATTTCACATATATATATAAATCTTATCATGTTTTATTCCTATGGACTATCTCGATCGATAACGTTTTGTTGTTGCATTAATTGCATTTCAAGTCGTTTTAATTCATTTGAATGACTTTGATTCATTTGAGCTAATTTTGTTGAATTTTGTTGTTGTAAAGCAAGAACAAATTTGATTAAATCTAATTGAAAAAAAAAATAAACATGAGAAAAAATATTTTTTTATCGAAATTAATATCTACCATCTTTTGATGATGATTGAAGATCGTCAGGTAATAATTGCATATGACAATCATTATCAATATCATCTGATAATAATTTCGAATTGAAATTAAATGATGTATTTAATGTAGGTATTGAATGACTATATGAATCTCCGTTAATATTTAAGTCATTTGATGGAGATGTTGGAAAACCATTCGATGGTCCTGATGCCCATGGTGATGATGGACATGTTACAGGTGATAAGAATTTTGTATTGGAACGTGAACTAAAATAGAAAAAATATATTTCATCTTCACAAAGAAAAAGTATATATTACCTTGATATTGAATCATTATTATCGTGATCTAATAATGAACGACTTGTCATTGATTTATCAAATCGAGGACTATTCATCTTCAAGAAGAAAATAAATTATAGTTCATTCTAAGATTAGTTAGATGAATGTATACCTTCGATGATGAAAAGAATGAAGTCATTCTTCCTGTATTATTTCCATTTGTTGTTGAATGACCATTTGTTATAATGGATTCTCTTGATGCACTTCGTTGTAAATCCATTGTTACTGAACGTGCTTTAGCTCGTGAATCATTTGTATTATTTGATGGTGGTGTTGTTACAATAATAGTTGTAGCGGGAGATGATGATACTGATGATGAACCTTTTCCATTATCAACATGTGAGGAATTTTGTATACGTAATTTAGGTGCAATAAGACGACGTCGAACAGAACCAAGTAATGAACTATCAGTATGACGATCAGATGATTTGGTTGTAGAATTATTTTGTATTTCTTCTTTTTGTTGTTGTTCAATTTCACATTCATGTTTATATTGACTATGATTGAGAATAAAATTCATTAATGGACGATTATTATCATGTAATGTACGATATAAATTTTCGAATAAACTCATTTTTGTACGTTCCTAAATTTCAATAGAGAAAAAATAGAGTTTTTTTAATAAAATCATTCATTTTTGTCTTACATGATATTTTTGAATTGTACTTGCACGACATGATGCCATTTCAGCATTAATTAATTTTGTTAATATCCATTGTTTAAATATTTGATCACAATGAAATGTTGTTGAAAGATTTGAATTTGGTCCAAATGATGGTACACTATCACGTTGTATAACAGAAACTTTAAATTGTGTACCATTTGAATCTAATGGTGTAACAACAAGATAAACATGTAAGAATTGCGAAGCTATACATTCCGGATTAAATATTGTGTCTGTTTCTTGAAAGACAATTGCAACAATATCATTGCCAATATGACGTTTACGTTCAAGTTGTTGTCGTTCACTTTTTGAATGTGGTAATAATGTACTAACATGAAACATGATTTCATGATTATGAAATTGTTCATAAATTGATTCAGTTCCTGTTTGATCAGATTTAACATCAAGACCACCACGAAATCTAAAGACACAAAAAAAATGAAATTATTAATAATAATATTTAGTTTTTTTGTTTTCGTACCCTCGAAAATCTTTTAGTTTAACACGTGTACCAATTAAATCAAGAAATTTATCCATAGCAATACTATGTGTTTCATTGCTAAATATATCTTCTTCAGTTAGTTGATCTTCACGTTGATATATTATACCATATTTATGTTGATTAGATACATGTGATTCATCATATTTTAATAATAAATCATGTGTCTAAATAAAAAGAAGAAGAATGATGCATGATTTTAGATCTATATATATATTTATTTATTTAACTTACACCATCACATAGCACCGGAT